GCTACTAGAGGGCAAGAAATATAAAATAAGAGAAGTTCAGTCCATGAACGGAAAACTAAATTTCAATTTGGTTTTTTTCCTAAACCTTGTCGTATGATTATAGGTTGGAAATGATAGATTCACATGGATGGGAACATATGCACCATAAAATCTACGTGGAAAAGTTTTTCGCTCTAATTCATGAGAATGATTATAAGGAAACACTTTTGCTAGTAGATTTTAAAGGACCCGATAAAGGTCGATATGGATATTGCTTGTATTAATTGCATTCTCAAATTCACAATATGATTACGACATCCCTCTTCATATTTCAAATTGTGAGAAATGGCAAGGAATTGTTTGAACGTTTAGAGACTTATAGTTATAAGTCATGAAAGGGTTTAAACGCACACATATGCTATCCAATGAAGGTGTATAAGCTTAAGAAGTCTATTTGGAGACTTATCGAAGCACCGCGTAACAAAAATCTGTACTTCAATAAGAAAATCAAGAGTATTGATTTCTAGAAGTCTAGTTGTTTTTGGATACATGTCAAAGGTAGTGGGAGTATAATTGTTATGCTAGTATTGTATGTTGACAATACTATTCATAGGGAACAAAGTTTCCAATTTTCAAATTGCAAAGTTTGGGAATTGTTTCGCTATAGTAAAGTTAACGGAGAGGGCACTCATACTTCTTTTTGAATCTAAAGGTTTAGATTGTATAGTTTAATATAACTTAGGCATAGACATATGTGAATATCATGTTGAAATGGTATAGAAAATTCCATATATGAAAATATTATAGCGAGAGATTGAACAGATATCGGATATAATGAATCGAGTCTCATATGCTTCGGGTATATGATCAATTATATATGCTATAATATTCACTTATTCTAATTTTTTCAAATGCTCAGAGCATTCTGAGAGAAAAGAACTAGAATTTTGTATGACTAAAGTTATTAAACGACTTTCAAAAACATTCCAAGGTTATACCAAAAGATTGGTTGCTTATGGAAAATTGTAAGTATGGAATTTATTTGGACGAACCATAGTGACATGATTCTGGATTGAGATGATTCTTGATCAGAATTGATGGTCATGGAAATGTTTCCATAATGAGAGTTGATAATTAAATCTACATATGAGTTGGAAACTTTAATGCAAGAGAAGTGTTCAAGGAGTGTACATTGAATTAGAACTTTCATTACCATGGAATAGTTTCTAGTAACAAAGTTCCGATGGAATATTATGTAATATCGTTGGCTCAGTCCCTGTGACTTTGAAGCCTCGACATCACAGAAGGTCAATGCATGTAAGGTTGAAATTCCAATACATTTTAGATAATGACAAGAATTTGGAATTGTGAAATGAGCATCATTGGAATAGTGTCCAGTTGATCTGTTCACAAAGAAGGACCATAGTGAGACATAGTATGCATGTTCATAACATGGCATGACTGACGTCATTCAGTTCAAGTTGTTAGTTAATTACTCGAAACATTATACAATAAATAAAGTTGTAATTATTATGGTGATTAAATAATGAAGATTATTTATATTCAATAGATTTGAAACCATAGTTAATTAGTTTATTATTGTGTTTCATTTTGCGTGTTTTACTTCATGAATAATTTGATTATTCGAAATTCCACAGTCGCTCATACTTTTGGAATTAAGTAATGAATGACGACTGTCATGGATTGAATTGTAAATTGTCTATGGATATTACACATTGCAATGGTTGCTACAATATTCACGAGTACCTAGAAAATGGAGATTTTTTAGTATTGGATAAACCCACGCTTAGAGAATTACTTCATGGATTTTATTATGAGTAATTCTGAGACAATAATATCTTATATTCTTAAAACTGAGATATATGAGTTGTAATTTATAAGTCAGTTGTACATTAGTATTGCAAAAACAAATCGGTAACTTGATGTTATAAAACGTAGTGTCATGTGCGATCTGGTGAGTAAAAGATACAAGCATATGAATCAAAGTTTATTCGTTCCTTTTGCCTTAACCGGGAAAAGCGATATATTTGGGTCCCTCGATGATTTGTTGTCGACATCTGAAGAGCTTAGCCAAGCTTGGACTGAATTGGTGTGTTTAATTAGCAGTATGTTTTCAGTCGTCATAAATTATGAAATCGAGAAACAGAATTTTGGACAATGAGATTGATTTCAATCCATGTCCCATATCCATATGATATCTTGAAGAACAAAAAAATATTTGATCACTTATCTAAAGGACAATCTTCTGATCGGATCAGAGTTCAACAATTGCTTTGGAAGCACCATTTGCTAATAATTTAGAAGTTATACTGGCAATTATAGTTATAGACTTATCCAAGTGGGAAACTGTTGGATTGGGTGTCTAAGCCAATAACTAAATTTGTATATACTTGAATTATTAACAAAGTCCTTTTGGGTTGCCCTCAGACCTAGTAATTGAATAAAATAACTTTTAGAAAGAGAGAGACTGGTTTATTGATTTATTATATGATTAATAAATTAATTAGAAATCAAAATAAATGATTTTTAATATATTATGAGAATAATATATTAATTAGAAATAGTATTATTTAATTATAAATTAATCATAAGTTAATTGGAATTAATTTTAGGATTAATTGGAATAATTAAAAGTATAAGGAATAAAGATGACAATGTTCAAAAGTCGAACATTGAGCAATTCTAGAAACCTCCTAGGTAGGGGACGAATTCTAGAATGTCTTATAGGGTTTCCTTGGACATTGATGGTGCCTTGCATACCTTAGGGAGGAAGAATGGATAAAGACTTATCTTAGGAAACTGGCTTATCTTAGGAATCTGCATTATCCGATACCTTCCTAGTCACCTATATAAACCCTTCTTAGGGTTTATATTTTCGGCCAACCATACAAACTAAGAGGCTAGCCAAAATTCTCCTTCCCTTATCCTCTCTCTTCAAGTATCCTAGTTGCTAGGATTGGGTGTGAACCATCAGAGAGGCGACACTCGTGGTGCTTGCTATGTCATTGTGGCCTTTTGTATCCCATAACCTAACAAGAGGCTCCCAAAAACATTGTACCGAACACGACCTAAATCTGTGTGAAATAACATTATTATTTTTTTCAAGTTGCATTTTATTATAATTAAAATATTTTATTTTGAAAATTGATATCTAAATCAATCTAACTCCAACTTGTATATGCAGTATATCATTATGATTTTTTTTTGGTCAGGCAACCCAAAATAAATATTACATACGGGATGATAAATATCCATATTTATTCTAATAGGAAAGTTTCTTATTTTTTAGAAATTTAAATTGTGAACGACTAACAAGATTTTATCAACAACCAAACGTTCACTAAGGGGCTGTTTTGCAGGATCTGAATTTTTAAGATCTGGATTTTTAAGAGATCTGAATTTCTAAGAGGGTCTGAAATTTTAAGAGCTGAATGTACAACATATTGTTTGGTTGGGACATCTGAATTGTTGTGCTGAATTATAAAAATGACCATTTTACCCTTCTGTTTTATTTGTTTATTGAATTCAAGCGTATGCTTATAAAATAACCTAATTAATTTCTTAAATAATTATAAGAAAAAAATATAAACACCATATAAAATCCAAATTTAGCATAAATAAAGTGATCATACAATATAACCAAATTAAACATAAATTCTTTCAAATTCACTTCTTTCAATCCATTGTAACATAAAAATCATACAATATAACCAAATTAAACATAAATTCTTCCAAATTCACTTCTTTCAATCCATGTAAACATAAACATCATACAATAACCAAATAAAAATACTCTTTCAATCCTTGGTGCAACTAGTGAACCAAACACTTTCTACTTCCTGCACACTTAAGAAACAACCATGCAATTTATCACTCTTTTATCAACAAAAAATTAACCAGAACTTTTAAGCACAAATCAATATAAATCATCCATTTAAGCAAGAAATTTCCCATTAGCAACAGGTACACAAGTTAATAATCAAAGTTCCTAACGAAAATTTCAGAATCCAAGTTCATAATTGTTTCAAGTATCAAGATTTCAGCATCAGGTTATCAAACAGATTAGATTTCAAGAATCACCCACATTAAACATTTTAAGAGACTGAAATTGATACTCCTAATAACAGCTTTATCATAATTTATACATACATCAACACTTAAAACCCAATCAAAGTCTGTTAGAAGCAAAACATTCAAGAAAAAACAAATTCAAACCTTTATAATTAGATTTATGATTTCACCATTTCAATAGTTTGAAACCACATATGGATTCAGAAAATAAAGGAAAAGAAAAAAAACAAATTTTCTATAAAAACAGGAAAAAAAATCGAGTTTCAGGGGGAACACAATAGATGGAGCGGAGGTGTTTGTGTGCATCGATGAGAAAAGAGAATCGGAGGAGGCGTGAGTTTGAGGAGAAAAAAAAACCGATTCATTAACCAATTCTTTCATAAAAACAGAAAAAAATCGAGTTTCGGGGGAAAGAAGGAAGAAGAACGAACCTGGATTGTCGGAGTTGAAGGAGGCGCTGTTGCAGGCGTCGGAGGAGAAGGCGGCGGCGTCGGAGGCGGCGGTGTTGGGGTACGATGGCAGTGTCACAGGCGGTCGATTATTGGAGATCGGTAAGGGAGAAGAAGCGGGTGAGAAGGAGGAGAAGGGGGCGAGAAAGAGAGTATGCGTTTTGGGGTTAAGGGCATAGCGCGTCTTTTATTTTTTCAGATAGAGTTCCAAATCTGATTCGATAAGTGCTAAAATTCAGATTCGGACCAAAACTTAAGAGGTAAACAAACGGTCTGAATCTTAAAGATTCAGACCTACCCCTTATTAAGAGGTATTAAGATGCAAACAAACAGGTTCTAAAACAATCGTTTCAAAATAACTATAAATTTTACCCTCATGAAATACGTACGCTAGGGTAAGTATTAGTAAATGGATGAGCACACACTCCACGTTACACATCACTACTCTCTCTCTCTCTCTCCCTATAAATAATCACATCGACTTCTTCGTTTTCTTCGGAGATAGAGAAAGAAACACACAACAACCGAGAGAGATGCACAAATTCGCAACCTCATTGCGGAGGCGAACCTCCGGAACAGATCAATTCCGGCGATGTTTCTCTCAACTAGCTCAACGGCAATCATCGATTGAAGAATCCGGTGGAGTTCCGATCATACCAGCTTTTGATTACTCTCCTCCGCCGTACACTGGTCCTACCGCCGAGGAGATCCTCCGTAAGCGTAAAGAGTTTCTTAGCCCTGCCATGTTCTGCTTCTACAAGAAACCAGTATGTTATTAAATATAAATTATATACCTTATGCATTAATGATCTTATCCACATTTAAATTTCCGATGTTACAAAGTAACTTGCACATCATGAATTATTAGGTTTACAAAACTTATTATAATTTATTGCAATTAAGACCCAATCAAACAAAAGGAATAGAAGAAAAAATATCAAATCATTGTATGGGATCGTGGGACTTGAGATGATGGCATTTTGGGTGGAAAAAAGAAGAGAAAAAGGCTTAGATTCTAATGAATCTCTTGTTTTTGTTATTAAATCATGGATAAATGGAGTTTACATAGTAAGAAAAAGTTTATTATATTTCATAATATACGTTTGTTGGTCGAAAGAAAATGTGATAAATCATAAAAATTATTGTTTGTTATTTAGAAACATAAATAGAAATATACTCTATAATTTAAATTAATAAAGAAAAAAAGTATTATATAATTACTTTCATATATGGCTTAATTAATTAAGAATTAAGAAAGAGTTAATATTACAAAATGACCACCAAATAATATTCACTTGTTTTCTGACCACTCAATATTTTAATATTAATTAATAAATCCATAAATATATTTTTTATTAACATTACATATATAAATTTCAACCGTATAAATTGGTGTTGAATTGTACGTGACATAATTTATTCACTAAATGATGTTCATTATGTGATTCAATATGACATAATTACCTGGTTGGGATCCATTTAAATGATGTAATGAAAAAAACTTGTTTGGCCTATTGACTCAATAGTAATGATGAGTAACCAAAAGAGTAAATTGATTACAATTAGTTGTCATTTTATAATATTAACCCATTAGAAAAATATAAATTTAATAGATAATTAGTATATTTCATTATATATTTGTTTGTTATAAAAAAATGTAAAAAAAAATCATTCAATATTGTTGTTTGTAATTAAATTCATTATTATTTAAAAGACCAATATGTGTGGGTCATATCGCAAGAAAAGAACGTAAAAAAACTAATGATTTTGGACATGAATCGCAAAATAAACACGTTTTTTCTTCTTCCGAATTGTCTTTTTTATATATAATTTACAAAAATGACATCTTTTTCAAAGCAAAATCATTATCTTGAAAACCAATTATTTAGAAATATTTGATTTTATTTTAATCGCATTATAAAAGGAGTTTATAGTGACCATCTATAAAACAATTTTGCAAAAAATGAATTTTATTTTGTATACACTTTATTCGACACTTTAATAAAATAGTTTACAATAATAAAAATTACAATGAACACCATGAAATAGTTTATAAAACGTCATGAAATGACGTTATTATATATTACGTGACAAACATTATTTTTTTAAAAGATATTATCAGTTTCGATTACTTGAGATGACGATATATATTTGTGGTGAAACAGTTAAACATTGTACATGGGAAAATGCAATATTTATTCGATGAGAATGGGCGAAGATTTCTTGATGGTTTTGGAGGGATCGCTACTGTGAATTGTGGTCACTGTCATCCTGACGTGGTCAAAGCAATCATAAATCAGACCACCACCTTACAACACTCCACCATTCTCTATCTCAACCACTCCATGGCAGATTTCGCCGCTGCTCTCGCCGGAAAAATGCCCGGCGACCTCAAGGTACTCTATAGTCTAGCTACTCTACCACCATCTATAAACCATTGTTTTTTTCAGGTGTGGTACTCAACATGCCTTTTGTCTAGGTTCATTGAACAACCATTGGTTTATGTTTAGTAAACAAAGGACCCACAAAGTTAACATAATAATTAATACATGTTGCACAAAGTAAGGATTGGATTGTCACATCCCTTATTAATATTATAAAAAGTAAGGATTAGATTGTTAAGTAGATAACGTAGAAAGATAGTGTATTTATCTTTTTTGAACAGAAAAAAGAACAGATTAGAAACGAGTCTCTATTTCATTATACGGTTCCACGTCTTTTAATAGAACAAAATAAATTACAAGTTTAACTATGACAAAAAATTACAACTTGTCTAGGTTCATTGAACAAGCATTTGGTTTATTTTAATAAACAAAGGAGTCACTAAGTTAATATAATACATATACAAAGTAAGAATTTGATGACGATGATGATAAGAACGGATTTTTAGTTTTTGGCGGGATGGAACCGAACATATTAATGGACATTTTATATTATTACTTTTATGATAATAGAATAGTACTTATGTCTCTTTGATATCGGCTTAAGTCTTACTTGAATGCATGAAACAATGTATAATTTGTTACATCCGGTGTATTGGTGTAGCCTAAGGTTTATGTCTAAACCATTGCGTAGCCAACAAGCACAACCAATTATGTACAAACGGGCTTCAATGTTTTCTAACAATTTTATAATAAATATATAACTTTCATCAACGTTTGCTCATATTGGTGCGACATATGTCAAATACAGTATAATTATTCTTGTCATCTATAACAAACTGTTTTTATAACCTTTTAATAATAGATTTATACTTTGATGTTCGTATAGGTGGTGTTTTTTACGAATTCGGGTACGGAGGCTAACGAACTGGCACTGATGATCGCACGATTATACACAGGCTGCCAGGACATCATATCATTAAGGAACGCGTACCATGGGAACGCAGCCGGTACAATGGGTGCTACGGCTCAATCTAACTGGAAATTTAATGTTGTTCAGGTAAATTTCAATAATTATAACAAACCAGATTGATAAATAATATTAAATCAAATATACAAATAATTCAAGTAAAAAGTTATAATTTACACAAATAATTCAAGTGCTTTTAAGCCACATGTTTGTTTTTTGTAATTCGCTATAAAAACATGGGGTTTTTTTTGTCACTTTTAAGTGACATTACGTTATAAAACACACTACCTAATTTTGTAGTGTTATTAGAATATGCGAAACGTTACGTTTGCGTGTTTTTTCATAATAGTTATTAGTCATCAGTATCATCGCTCCATAAACGATATCATGACAACGCTACTATGTCGTTTTCAGGTATTCTTTAATTAGGCGACTACTATATTTTGTCCTTATTAAATGACAAATATGTCCTTATTAAATTATTATAGTTTCTTAGTAATCCTCTACTTTAACTGCTTTATGTGTCATGCATAGGGCCATCCCCTATTTTTAAATAAAATATTGTACTGTTAAATGAATAATTTTATTCAATAACGTTTCACAAATATTTTTTTCTTCATTTAAATAAATAACTTATCTTTTTTTACTTTAATATAATAACATTTATTTCTTTAGAGTGGGGTCCATCACGCAGTAAATCCAGACCCGTACAGAGGACAATTCGGGTCGGATGGAGAAAAGTATGCCAAAGATGTCGACGACTTGATCCAGTTTGGAACTTCTGGAAATATTGCTGGTTTTATTTTTGAAGCAATTCAGGTAAAACATCAAATAAATAAATAGTTAATTTTATTTAACAAACAATTTAATATAAATATATACAATTTTTTAATATTTTGTAGGGTGTTGGAGGAATTGTTGAATTGGCCCCAAATTATTTACCTCCGGTTTATAAAACTATTAAGAAAGCAGGAGGACTTATGATCGCTGATGAAGTTCAAGCGGGATTTGCACGCACCGGAACTAACTTTTGGGGATTCCAAAACCAAGGAATTGTTCCCGATATAGTCACAATGGCAAAGGTATATTATATAAAATAGATACATGAAATAACAATGTATTTTTATTGATTTTTTTATCATAGCATCCTACTTCTATCGATTTTCATTACAAAATTGTAATTTCAAAAAATCTACCAAATATGAAACAATTTTGACCATTTTATAAGAAAAAAAATTAACATATAATGCGATGCAGTTGGGTAGAATTTTTAAAGTACAATGTCAAAATAAGAAAAAAGAACTGAAAGTACAATGTTATAACAGGGTATTGGAAATGGGATTCCGCTTGGTGCGGTGGTGACTACACCAGAAATCGCGAAAGTTTTAGCCCGTCGAAGTTATTTCAATACGTTTGGCGGAAACCCGGTTTGTACTGCTGCGGGCCATGCGGTTCTCAAAGTTATTGAGAGAGAAAATCTTCAAGAAAATGCTCATGTCGTTGGATCTTATTTAAAGAAACGTCTCATCTCTCTCAAAGATAAGCACGAAAGTAAGTTATTTGTGCCCATTTATCCAATTATGTGTTTTTAAAAAAAATATTTGTGAAACCGAGGGAAAAAATAAACAAGGGTAAATTTTGTAAAATAAAAATAAAATAGGACTTAATGGCAAAACCCGAAAACATGAATTTTTGTATACTTAACTCGTTCGTTCTTTCTACATTAACAAGAAAAGAAAGACACATATATAGTTTTATCAAATTATGAATAAGTCTATTAAGTAAAAAAGAAACAGTATATTAGGATCTAACAGTCTAACTTATATATTTTATGATGAATTAAGTTATTGGGGATGTTCGTGGAAGAGGACTAATACTTGGAGTTGAGCTAGTTACCGATCGCAAACTCAAAACTCCGGCAAAGACAGAAATATTGGAGATAATGGAGACAATGAAAGGTAATTTTCGGGATTTGATCGATATTGTGGTTTATTTTCGATATATTAAATATATAAAAAAATTGCTTTATTTGTGTTTATAGATTTAGGGGTATTGGTTGGAAAAGGTGGATTCTATGGAAATGTTTTCAGAATCACTCCACCGCTATGCTTCACTAAAGAAGATGCAGGTGTGTTTTTGTTTCCCTTTTGCTTCTTTTTCATCTGGGATAAGTGCAAGAAATAACATCGTATTTTTATCATTTATTATAATTTATAACATCCAGTTTTTGTTTTCTTTCTATCCGACATTGTATTGTGAAAAATCTATCAAATTGTAGCAATTGCATCCAAATACAAACCAATTTCAAGGGTAGATTGAAGAAAAAAAAAATTAAAGTACGTTGCTATAATTGGGTAGAGTTTTAAAAGTACAATGTTGTAATGGAAAAAAGTGAAAGTAGGATGATATAATACACAAACAAATGAAAATATGTTGTTATTTCTTGTATTTAGTATCTTTTCATACAATTAAACTTTCAAAACTTGTGTAGATTTTCTTGTGGATGTGATGGACTACTCGATTTCAAAGCTATGAAGATGGGGCATGGCCAAAGAGCATCTTGTATGTGTACTACTTATAAAGTAAGACATAATGAATTTATCATATATTTGTATGATATAAATTATGGGAAAATGTGTGTGATTAAAATGTTGGGCAATATTGATAAAAATTGTAAGGGTCAACAGCTCGTTGACTCTCTTTGTATCTGTTATATTCTCTTTCTAAATAAAAATGTCATTATAATTTATATAATTTTAAAGGCTACTTTCTTTTCCTTTATCGTATTTGACAACATCTCGTTGTTCTTGTTCTGGTCTTACTCCTTGAATAATTATATCATTGCTAATTAATCAATTAAAACTTTATGTTCTTCTAAAATGTATGCAATCTAAAAAAAGTGAAGCTTATGAATTATGATTGATTTAAAGTTATTGTGTGTTCCAGTTATTTTATGAAATGCAATATGGTTAAATGCAACTTATTTATTTTAGTATTGTATTTTTGAAAAATATAATCTATTTGATTATGATAATGTTATTCATATACAGATCAATTGTTATTATTATAATTTGACTGAATTTTCAAATTATTATATCCTAGTATAAAACTTTGATGTATAATTATTACTATTTAGAGTTTTTTAAACACAATGTCTCAATAAAAAATAAATATTATAATAGAAAAATATAAATATAGAATGTGACACTTCACAAATAGATAAAATTATATTGTTATATTCTTGTTGTATTTGTCAACGACTTTTTGATAGATTTTAAAAACTTTTAACTTTTATGTTTAAAGAAAACTATTTTAATTAAATGAAGAGTTACGGAAGTACAAGCTTAAAATTTTCTTTTATAGAAAAAACTTCAAATCCAAAACAACTCATTCAAGTAATTTTTGATAGTTTTAGTTTTTTGTATTTTAAATTGTTTTACATTTTTCAAAAATTAAAGTTATTTTTGTCACACAATTAAAAAAAAGCACTACTCTAGAATGATTCTAGTAGAATCTACTTTTACCAAATACACTCTAAATCCTATTATTAGATAATTACTATATCTTAACATTGATATCCCATACTTTCTATGCCACCGATCCACCACTATCATATTAAAATAAAAATACCCACATCAACAATTATAATAATAAATAATAATAATAATGAGAACCACACAACATCGCATCCTTTTTACCTTAGAACATTGGGTATGAAGTCCAATATTATAATATCCAAAATTGTCACATTATATGCCAACACAACAATAGTTAGAAGTGGGAGTGGTGTGCATATGTTATTACATGTTAAGAGGTAGAGAGAGAAGAAGAAAGAAAGAATTTGATTGGTTGATGAAAGCAAAAGCCAATCACATTTCTTGTTTTTACTTGTGGTCGTTATAACGAGTTGTGCCTTAACACCCCCTTAACTAGAAAGGGGAATGGTGTGCATCTTGTTATGACCGGATTATGAGGTGACACATCAGCAATAATATCATTTCTCGTTACTCATACATTGTGCTCTTAGAAAACTTTTTTCATTCGTTGATGTCACCTAGTCCCATATGGCTATATCACAATATCACACACACCATTCTAACAACCTAAGAAGCTAATTTCGTCCACATAGAACAAGTTATATATATCTGTATCTTTTATTTTCGTTAAAAAAACTCATTACAAACCTACGACTCTTCTTTTCAACCATCCCATTAGGCTATGGGGTATGATCATCACCAACCCATTAAAAAATGATGTCATCTATATGCCACATCACCTCCAATTACATGTTCACTAACTTTTTGGAAATTGTTAGCACTTCACATTTTTTTTTTGATATTTAGATTAAATAAAAAACATAAATAACAAACATAAATAAATATTTCACATCAGTTAAAAACATATTACATAACTTAAACTTTCAACCTAAATTACTAAAAAAAACATAAAAATATCAAATTTCAAACCTAAATTACTAAAAAAACATAAAAACATAGAAATTTAAAACTAAATTACTTAAAATACATAGAAATTTAAACATAAAAAATAAAAACCTTAGAACCTAATTTCCATATTTTGCGTGGACTTGTTGAATATTTAGAAACGTCGCTAGATTTTCCGGGTAGAGATCCAGTTCGGGCTTTGTGTTTATAATTTGAATATCGGTACGTGCTTTTATCCGGCGACGAGCTTCCTCAATTGCTTCATTTTTTCTAAAAAAAACTTAGAAATTTGTCTATTTTCCCACAAGTACGTCTTCATTACTCACTTTTCCGCTTGAAGACATCGCCTTTTCCCTTTGTCCCTTCCCGGTAGTCGACGAAGTTGGACTTTCGGTGGACACTCCCCCTCGGTGTCGTCGAAGTCTTCATTGAGGTCGACGCCAAAACCCATATCCGACTCGGAAGTTCTTGACATTTTGTTGGAGTCGGTGGTCGATTCCGAATGCGACGTCTTAGAATTAAGGACCCATTTTGGACCGTTACGACAAATTTTCCATGCTTTTTGGTGGCCGAATGTTTTACCGTCGTTGATAACCTTGTATTGTTGGCATGCGGTTGATAAAATATGGAAATCGTTGCTACCACTTTTATGCATATCTTTAAGATTTTCAAATATGTCATTAAACTTGGTGCAGGCCGCTCACAGTTCACGTCATTTTCCATTGACCACGTCGGACGTCCGATCTGTTTGCCTTCTCAATAGTGAATGAAAGTGGTCTAAAACAGGAAGCCAAAAACTGTTTCCCGTTTGCGCGTTGCCTGTCCTCGAGTCACACGATATGAAAATCCAAGCTTTCGATAAAGCTTCCTACTCATCTTCGTTCCAAGCTTCTTACTCATCTTCTAGATGGTTGTTGTATTTCTTGGTTCCTTTTGTCGTCGTCATTGTCGAGGTTTATAGGTTAGGATTGAGAAAATAAGACTTGAGATGGTTGTGTTTGAATTTGTTGATGTTTTTTGGAAAGTGAACTTCCCTAACAAGGGTTTGAAATTGTTGAGGTTGAGAAGCTTGTGGTTGAAATTGTTGAGGTTGCAAAGTTTGGGGTTGAAATTGTTGAAACGATTGGAATTGGGATTGATTGAATTATTATGGTCTTTATTGTTGGTATTAGTTTGGTTGATATGGAATGTTGGTAAATAGAGGTTGTTGTTGGATTGGAGATGCTAACATTTGCATGTAGTTAAGCTGTGAATATGGATCATTTGGAGTGTTTGGGGTTGTTGGGGTGTTTGGAATGAGTGAGGTATTTTGATTTAGATCCATAGTTTCAAGAAGAGATGAGAAAATTGAAAGAAATTTAAGTTTTTTTGAGGTGTGAAATGGTTATAAAATTATTGGTATTTATAATGAAAGTGTTTCTTTTAAATTTGAAAAGTATATATATATATATATATATAATGCATTCAACGAATGCATTTTTGACCGTTTGAAGTTGTAGATTTTGATTGGTTGTGACAATCCGTGATTATACTCAATCCACATCACACTTACGCGATTGTGGGGTGGTGTTCACATGTGAACATCCTTTCCACGTAGGCTTATACACGTCAAAATGTATGCTATACCCGATGGTCTTAGAAACCACAGACACAATAAACTCCAAAAGAATCTTACTACCACACGCACACTCATAGGAAAGGAGGTGTACCTAATCGAATACTAGCTTAGTGCAGGTAAGTAAGGTATCGAACACATGGAACAATAATAATAATTAAAACTACTAGTAATGATAACTATTTTAAACAATAATTAAAATGGGGGGTTTTTTCTCTAGTTTTACAAGACTAGAAACTTAAATAATCACTTAAACACTTAGCAAGGATTCAATTAACAGCTAATTAAGGACCAAAAGACGATTTGAATCAAGAATATTAAAGAGACTTCCGTTTAGATGCGATTCACTTACTCCTATGGTTGATTTCGTGGAAAGTGCAATGGATTAATGTGTCATCAATTACCGATTTATAATGTGATTAGATAATGTTCACTAAACTAATCCTTTAGCAAACAAATCAATTCAAACGGTGATCAATTGATTAAACTAATAAGTTTACTAGTATTAAGTTCGAATCATGCAAGACTTGTAATGGTAATTAATTCAATTGGTTGATTAAATTAACTCATATATAGTTGGTCATCATATATAACTTATACATCAATTTACTTATTTTCTTATTAATCCTAGGTTTTGTTCAAAACACCAGTCTTACAATTTTGATGGTCATAAAACTCTAGGATTCAAGCAATCAAGAAAAATGGTCATACAATCTCAATTTACTTACTAATTAACTAGAAAAATAATTCTCATTAACATATAAGGTTCTTTTAACAAGCTTAGCATGATAATAATTAAATCAACATAATCCAAAACCACAAAATCAACACATAGTTGTAAGATCCTCTACTCTAAACGAAAGTATAGTTTTTAGCCCATGACTTCAGCAATTACAATCATAAAAACGAATTTCAACATTGCAAACATGATGTGAACAAAAGGATTAGGTAAAGTAAAGATGATTTGCCTTAGATCTCTTAAGAAAATAATATTCTAGTCGAATTCTACACTCCACAAATCCTAAGGGATGTCTCTGGCCTCCAAAAGTCAATAAAAACTTCCAACATATATTAGGTTTCGAAGAGAAACGATCCATAAATAGATTTTGAAAAAACGGTGAAACACGACGTGGTTTAGGACCAACATGTCGTGTTCTTCATTTAAAACGCGTATCTAGCAAGGCAAGATCCATCGCGAATCATCAACACTACACGCCGTGTTCGATGAAACACGTCGTGTTCTTGCTAATTTTCTTCTTCTTCTTGAAATTCCAAGATCCTAGCTTCCATTCACCAATTCCGCTTCCTTTACCCTCCGAGCATGTCTTGGCTGCTACAAAATAAATATTCAACCAATTAAGTACCTTTTGTTCAATAATTGACACAAATTCAACATAAAATATTAAGATAATGCATGAATTATATGACCAAATATGCACATATCAATATACCCCACACTTGACTTTTGCTTGCCCCCAAACAAAACTGAATTTTAACTTACCAATACCGCACAAGAAAATCCAAGTTGAACCCAAACATTATGCCAAGACCACAACACATGTATTTGTGTCTAAATTTTCCTAAGAACCTCCCGAATCCTAAATACACACAATCTTCATAAACACTAGCGCACTTCTTTCGAACAACGCTTATTTTATGCATCCCTCTGAATCCATCCCCAA